TTCTCAACCGAATTCGCTCGAATTTGTTGCAAATTAAAGCTTATTTCATCCATTTTCCCGATCAATGTAAGTTTTCTTCAAAATCACTCCGGTTTTTAATGAATTTTGCATATGTTTGTTCACAAATTTCTTGAATTCGAAACTTGAATTGCTTAATTCACTTTGTTTGTCAAATTTTATGCCATGAAATTGCTTGATTATGTTTATATATTGCCTTGGGAGTAATTTGAGACTTGTTTGACTCAATTTGATGAAGAAACGAACAAATCACCATTGTTGGCTAGCAATTCTTGTCCAATTTGTCACAATAATTACCATAGTATTTCAAGAAATTTTTTGAATGCTTGAAAAATGCCGTATATGCTCAATTTGAATTTGTGCTCTGTTTTAGTGCTACGTACTCTGTTTTTTTGCGAACATAGTATCATGCGGCTAGGAGAACCTTAGATACTATAGAACCTTAATTTATGATGATTTTTCACAATGTAGCATGGCTAGACAACGAGGTTCGGGTTCACGGTCTCGAGACGTACGACGGGAGCATGAACCCATAGAGGACAACGCCGACCCGTCCACTTCTCTTGGTCCCCTCCCTGAGTGGGATGAACGGACTCTGTACTTCTCCCCTGTCCACCATATTTCTGAGAGGGTGCGACTTGGGATCACAATTGGTAGGACGCGCTACCACGGCTCAGGCTGCCACACCTTAGGTGACCTGTATAAGATGTACATAGGCATTGACGGAGAGGTGAGACTTCTCTGGGAGTCTTGCGGACTGACTGCACTTCTTGAGACCTCGGAGGCCATGATTGCCTCTAGCGGGGTCAGCACGTGGCTCGTGCCTTGGTGGAGTTCTTTTAGGACACCACCAACACCTTCCACTTTCCTTTGTGTCAGATGATGGTCACCCCGACCGACGTCAGTCTTATTACGGGACTGGAGTTTATTTATGTTGCGCTTCCATTCGATAACGAGATCACCGTCTTTTCCTCTGAGGTCGAGGAGTTGTTAGGTTCGATTGTTGTTCGGGCTCGTGCTGAGGTAGAGTCGACTGAGTTTAGCTCCAAGGGGATTCGCCATTCGACTCTAGCAGCGGCTTTCGAGGATGATGCGACCACTAGAGAGCAGAGGGTGCGCATCTTTGTGCTTATTTTGCTGTCAGGGACATTCTCCCTGACAAGGGTAGTAGAGTGCTGCTTTACTACCTACCGGCAGTCCGTGATCTTCACTTGATCAGGACTTATGACTGGGCCAACTTGGCCTATGCTGACTTTGTTCGAGCGTTACGAGACTCGTGTCGACACCGGTCCTTCACGGGGAACGTCACTCTATCCGGCTTTTGGAGAGTCGTAGATGTATATTTTATCTCCCATAAAGTTTAGCTTTAAGCTTTAGTTAGCACTTGCTGATACTTTTTGCCTTTTGTAGCTCTGGTTCTACGAGTACTTTCCCTCGGTTACGCCGGTGAGACAGTCACCACGTAGATTTCCAATGAGTGCCTCTTAGAGAGGCCGTCGTACTGGGATGTCTACTGCTTATGTCCGAGATCAGATCATCTCGGTACGGTTCTTTATATATTTGAACACTTTCGCATTACCATCGATGTATTCTTATCTGATAGGCGTTCTATGCAGGAGCCTGACGTGCAGTACCGGCCGTGGATAGGCTTGGTTGTCCCTAGGTTAGCCGCGCAGTATACTACTAAGCGTCGCAATTTCTTTGGGATATATGGAGAAGTCGCATATCTTTGAGAGAGGGTTGCTATTCAGCATTCCTCGGACATTTTCGTCGTTCCTACTCCTCCACCGCGTCACATGTTCAACGCCACGAGGTTGGTGAGCATGTCAGAGAAAGATGGTACCCCTTAGAGATCTTATACGATCCCTGGGCGGTGCTATGAGGAGGAGCTACTACCATTGTTAGCTCCAGTCCCTGTACTAGATGAGGAGGTGGCGGTATGATTTTCAGCTTTTACCTTCCGTTAAGTAGCCCCCAACTAATATTTTACTAACTTTGATTTGCTTTTGTCAGGCTGGACCTACTGAGTTCGTGCCACCTCGTATGTCCATCCATTATCAAGGGACATACGGGCCGATCGAGGAGATGATTCCTCCGGCTTCTTAGGGTGAGCGCTTCGTGGAGCGGTCGATTCCTCGTCACCAGACTCGGGTAAGCTTTATTTATTTGCAGTTTTTGTCCATATATGTTATGCATCATTACTGACTTTATTTCCTTGACAGTTCTCGCGCGAGGTAGTCACGGCGATGGCACGGTGCATAGATGCCTTCCGGAGCCAGCTCGTTCGGATGAGGAATGTGGCTACATGTCGTCGCGACGCCGCCATTTTGGAGGTAGTTTCCCTTCTTATTTTTGCATTACTGCTTTTATTTTGATTGTTTTTTACTTTGTTTCTTCTTACAGGGTCAGCCCATTCCTTCTCGTACCTGTACGAGACTTGAGGTGCGGGGAGAGCCGGCGAATTCTAGCTCGAGTCGTCGCCGCTGATGTGTCTATTTTATATAGTATTTTACCCCCGTCCCTTGGTCATAATTAGTAGTGTTTTTGGCTCATTAGAGCCACTTTTATTACTAATTGGTGTTTTCTAGTGTTTTCGTAGATTTGGTTGACTTTTGCAGGGAATTACACTTTTGGAGTATTTTCCCGAGATATTTTGGAGCAATCACGAGCATAGGAGAAGCAAGACCGGATTTGATAGCCAAAGGCTGGTTAGAGTCATCGAACCGGTGATTAAGGGCTCGGTATAGGTGATATCGGGGCATTTGGGCCGAGTAATAAAGACCGGAAGAGGAAACCCATATTGGCCCGAAGAATTGGAGCCCAATCGTGGTCCAATTTATGGCCCAAGAGAGCCGCCCGGCCAAAGTGGCTGGCGCCCGGAGGCGCGCCCGGCCGGGCGCGAGATTCTACCTGACGAGCAAAAAGGCGCGCCCAATCGGGCGCGTGTAATTATTAGGAGACAATTAGCGTTGTTTAAGTTTGTTTTAGTTTAGGATTTGTACGGAGTATAAATACTCCTCTGTAATACGATTTTAGGATATCTATCTATCTATCTCTCTCTCTCTCTCTTTCTTTTACTCTCTTAATTGTTTTATTAGATTTCTTTCTCTTAAACCTTTTTTCTTAATCCACTCTTAATTCCAGATTTATTTTGGTAACGATTTCTCTTCTCTTAATCTTAGTTTTTTTATTTTATTCCTTTAATCATGTCTTGCTTTAGTGCTTTGATTAGTTTAGTTTCTATTATGTGTGAATAGTTTTATTTCTAGGGTTTATGGGGATCCATAAATAATATGAAGGGGTAATTTATTATTATTAATTGTCAATGTTAGATTAATTTCCTATTGATTGATTTAATGCTCTGTGACTAGGTTAGGCCTGATCTTTTATGCATGAGTTTGACAATATTGATTCAAGATTCGACAGATGAGAACTGATGTTTAGGTTTAGTTTCAATAGGCAGGTTAATTTATAAATGGTTAGGTCAAGATTCGAAATATGAGATTTAATACCGGTAAATTAATTGTGTGATTATAATACGTAGCGAAAGCCCTTTATAATCTGATTAATATATGCATTGATGAATGATTATTATATTCTACCCTGGAATATTATTTATTGGTGAACCTTTGCCCTAGATCCTTTTATATATTATTTTCCTCTTATTCTTGATCTCCGTAGTGTAGTTTATTATTCAAATATAAATATTGGTTACCTCATAATCTAGATTATATTAGTTAATTAGGAATAGAAAGATCCGTTTCTCTGTGGATTCGACCCTACTTCCCTATCTACATTAGTTAGAGGATTTAGGAATTACTTTTGATTTGGGGATACGACTTTACCCTGTCAAAATTTGGCGCCGTTGCCGGGGAAACGGTTTTTATTTTTATTTCTGATTATTTTTGTAGTCTTAGGTTATTTTCTTTTTGTCTCAGAGAACGTTAGTTCTTTGAGGCAAATCTCACATTTGCTTTTAGTTTTTTGTTTATTCCCAGGTGTTCCGGATCAGGGTACATCCCATTTGATCCTAAGATCGAACGTTCCTTCCATAGACAGAAAAATCTCTACAAGCAAATCTTGGCGGATTATTGTGATGATAATAATAATCACCGCGATCCTCCAACTGGTTCTAGCGATTCAGAGGTATCATCAGACGCAGAATCAGAGATGGCGGTTCCAAAGAATCTTAGTGATTACTCACAACTAAAGCTTTCAGATTTTCCACATCTCACTCCCACTCCGGCTCTTGATGGGGTTCAATTCGAAATTAAACCTCAATTTATAACGATGATAGAGAGGAAGCAATTTAGTGGAGCCAATGGTGAAGACCCAAATCTTCACATTGCCGACTATTGTCAATATTGCAATACCATCAGGCAAGCTAGGGTCACTCAAGACCAAATCAGGGAGATTTTATTTCCCTTCTCTTTAACTGGAAAAGCTAAATTGTGGTTTAATGGCTTAAATAGAACTGCACTTTGTATAACTGACTGGGAAACTCTTGTTTTGAATTTTTATAACAAGTATTATCCTGCAGAGAGAACAGCCGTACTACGGAGTGCGATTCAGAACTTTGCCCAAGAAGCCTATGAATCCTTATATGAGGCTTGGGAGAGGTTCAAGGACTTACAAAGAGAATGCCCCACTACAACAAAAGGATTAATTAACAGAGTTTTTTTTCTATAAAACACAGCGTTTGTAAAGCGCTATTGAATATATGCGCTGCTAAAACAATTATAGCGCTTAAGTTAAGCGCCATTAATAGTGTTCAATTTAGCAGCAGTGAATATAAAACGCTGTAAAATCAATTAAAATGGTGGGAAGGTTGATGACATTCATAATTGATTTATTTTGAATTAATCAATAGCATTTATTAGAAAACGCTGTTAAATATTTTAAATTCAAAATCTATATAATGCATTAATTATAATTATTAATAAATATGTAGCTAAACAAATCAGTACAAACTAACCAAGATCTAGAACAGAACTAAATTTAGTTTTCCAAATGAAATAAATGTCTTAAGGTCTCATAAAATACAAATAATATTAATAGTCATTTTTGGTAACACTCTCCAAGAAAGGGAAAAAATTACAATACAATATATGTCAATTCAAATATATACATACCCTAATTAAGTCACTACAAAATTCTTAAATTAAAAATTTGTGGCCTATTACAAATTAAAATACATGGTGAATCAACCACATATTCACATGAGAAGAACATGACGTGCCCATTGAGTTCGGATTTCATCAATTTGTTCTTGATCATACCTTGAGACATTGCAATCATGAAAGTACTGCAAAATATAAAATAAGACCGGACAAAAAAGAATAAATAAAATAAGAATTTTGATTAACATAATAAGCATCAAATGTAGGCATATTAAGTTTAAAACAAAGAAAAGGTCATACATCTTCAAAAATTTAGGTTTGCTTATGGTCAATGATCTCTTTCATAAATCTCATAACGTAATATCCACAATCAACGCCATTATTTTGTCGTGGGCACTGCATAATCATGACAAAAAAATAATCATAAATAATTTCAAAAATTGTAAAATATAACAAAAATTACAGTCATACAACATACTTGTATCTGCACCCACTTGGTGCTCATTTTAATCTTCTTTAACAATCCTTTTTCACTTCGAAAACCAAAGAGTGCTCTGCATAACAACAAAATTGCAATAATTAACCATTGCATTTCACACTTGATTATGTCACCTTGAAAATTGCATTAATTAACCTTTGCATTTTACACTTGATTTCAAGTAATAGATCGATGATGAGATGACCATTGTAGATGAAATAAAAGATGCTACACTACACTTATGTCCTTATTTATACATTTCCTACATAATTCTCCAACTCCGTACCATTTCTGCCAGAGTTGACACTACATCAGTTGCACAACTAAAGGTAATATTGTATTGTCTGCACTCCTATGGTATATAATTGCACAACTCAACAAGGCATCTTCTTACCAAATTGTTCGTTAGAAAACTATTAGAAATCTAGGAGTAAACTCACATGCCAAATCTTAAGAAGCAGCATATAAGAAATTAAAACAAGAAAATGACAATGAGCTTAGAATTATACATTCAACCTAAAAATATGAAAATCTGGCACTTTTTAGAGGAATTTTGCACCAATATTCATTAAAAGAAATTGAAAAAAGTCTCTAACCTGTCGACAATTGAACGCAAATCATCTCCAATTCCATTTCCTGTGCCTTTGTTATTTTCATTGTGTAGAGGATCCAGAAAATATACGATGTCATTATACGGATCAATAACACACAACACCCAATGAATCCTATGTAGTAAGGGGTAAAAACCAACTCTTAGTAGTTTAAATTATTCACCATGGACAAATATAATATAAAAAAATAATATACATACCCAACATTATACGGTGCTAGGAAGACCCTTCCTTTAGTTGCCTCAACTTTAAATAATGTATTCTTGATGTATTCAGAACAAGCTCTTTGATCCTCTTCAACTTTCTTTATCTCTCCCTTCTTAAATTGTGCTACGGGAGATATCCCACTTGGACATAAAAAGCCAAATAAACCCACTAAACCAAGCATTTGGCAACGACGATGTAATAACCTACGAATTCATCATGAAAGATATATGACTAAATGGATCTTTAAAACTAAATATATCATGTAACCAACATAAACATATTTCCTTAAAAAAAACAACAAAAAAAACAGTATAAACAAACAGCTAATAAACACTCACGACATGTAAATTACGATATGACAGACACCAATTTTTGCTTGGGCAAGAAATTGAAAAATTTCTTCACGGCCTATGAAGATCTCATTATTTTGACCAGGAATTCCCATGTCAATAAGGATGTGAATTTGTTCTTTCTGAGCCATCTTCAAAGTGTACTTGTGCATTATTTGAAGATCAGCCGGAAGGGTGTCTGGGAATGGGATTGTTTCAATATTATCATCCAACTTTTGTGGTTGATATTCAGATGATGCATGAGAAGGTTCATCATTTCTTAATATGGTATTCAATGGAGAAGCTTTGGTCTTCTTAGCTTTGGGATCTGAAGAACTTTTATGACCCTGTGAACACTAGTAATCCAAAGTTTTTTTTTTTAGAAAAAAAAACAACTGTAAAAATTTTATGACCAAAAAACGCAAAGTGGCAATCATCAAGAAATAATATTAAAAAAAAAAATGAATTTATACCGGAACATCTGTAATAATGAGATGTGTGGGCCACAATACGATTGTGTTTATGGCATCTTTAAGGACGAATGCTTCACCATCATCGAGAGGGACGGGCAAAGGTGTATGCTCCTCAGTTGTATAATCTATTGCAACTCACATGTAACCCGATGGTAATGATTTATTATGTACCACAGAACCGTTGATAACATTGTGCACCTTTCCAGTAGCTACCACTCTATAACTCGGATCTGATAAAGCTAATTGGCATGCAATTATTCCCTATATAATAAATAGTAAAAACTGATTTAGCATAATTCGTCTCAACTAAGACCTAACAATATAGCAATATAAAATTTTCAACACTAATGTAAGGAACTTTGGGATGGAGTCTGAAACATTATACCTTGCCCCTATTTTGTTCAAATAATTGTCTTTATAGTTATCTAACCACTTCAATTAGTAATTTTGCTAAATCCTGTTGTTAGACAACTAGATATGTATGATATAATTTATAAGACTCATCATAAGAGTGCTAGAAAGAGTTCCAGTGGGAAGATAGAACCTCCATTAGGTTCAATATACCTCTAGCAACATGACATTCCCAGAGTTGTAGTATTGAATTCCCAGAGAATATGATAGGGAAAAAAAGAGTTGCAGTGTGAGAACGATATAAATTAATGTAAAGCTTATATTCCAAAGGCAACACCAATATCAATGTATTTTAACTTCAAAGTTTCACAACCAGCATCACTTTAACATATTTAATTATACTACATATAAGGCATCTTCACACGTGTCTTTAACAAACTAATCAAAATTTAATGAGAAAAATAATGAAATTTTTACCTCAGGAAATAGTGAATTTGATATCTTGATGATTGATTACATTTGTGGGTCCGGGTTTCTCTTCCCCTTATTTTACTCAGTTTTTCAGAGCAAGCTAGAAAATTAGAAAGTGTACAAAGTAGAAACTTCATGTTTGTGATGTATCTTGTTATTGTTTTAGTAGTTGTGCAAGTATTTTTGGTGCCCAATTAAATTAGTTATTGCAAATTATCATAGATACTTTGGTCCAATCCTACATTTAGTACTCTTTTAGTGAATCCATGGTATAGACATGACCAGATAAATTCACGAAAAAAATTGTACAAGTTAACAGACTCATGATTTTTGACTCAATAATTATGCATGTTGGCTGTTGTATTTTTCTCCATTTATTGCAATTAATTTGATTATTAACCATATGTACCTACATGCATACTTTCTACTTACATAGATATGTATGATCCACAGCTAATGATTGTTGAACGACCCAAATGACTAAACTTGTCAATTGAATGACTATGTATCATAATATACAACAGAGACACGCACCCTAAACATCTAAACTAAGATTTTTTTTTTTAAGAAACATCTAAACTAAGATTCTGTTGTATTCACTTATGATTATGTGAAAGTTTGAATTTTTAATCCTACCTAATTTTTTCAGTTACTGCAGCAAATCTACTCTTCTCAAACGGACGGAACCTTGTGTGATTCAGATCCTCTCCATTTTAAGAACAAAATATAACACTAGAACACATGCTAGCCTTCTACCTCAATTAAATAGGCAATGGGGGTCATATAAGCCTAATGAAATATCAAACAACCAGAATAAAATGGAACAAAACACAATTTATTAACATGCAAATTAGCAAATTCAGATTAAACCTCAAAAAACCTTAATCAAAATTGCAAATTTCATAACTAAAAGTCCTATAAACAGCATAACCCAAAAACATTGAATATTGACCCATGAAGAACAGCAAATTCAAACTTAAAAAATGCAATTACATAAGAAAAAAATACTCACAATTGATAATTTCAATCAACGAAGTCCGCAAACACCAGTAGAGAGGACAATGAAGTGCTCAATTTGCAGAAATAGAAGAATTGCTCAACTACCCACAATTTGCCGGAGAAGAGGAATTGCTTAACAATTTATTGGACTGAAGGGAACTCCTTAATTAATTTAGGGAAACTGGGATTTGGATTTGGATTGAAGGGAACTCAATTTGGGGAAATTGGGATTGAAGGCTGAAGTTTCTAGTGGCAAAACAAAAAAAAAATAAAAAAATTTGTGAAGTGGAGGGAGCAGTGAAGTCGTGGGTAATTGTGAGTAGTAGACTAGTATTCTAATACTAGTAGTTTGGTGGGAAATTAGGCTAAGAAATAGGAATACTTTTTTTTTATTATTTATTTATTATATATAACCACTTTAATTGATAGCACTTGATTTACAGCGTTTATTCCTAAACGCTATATAAAACTATGATGAAAACTAAGGTGATTTTAATAGCATCTTTCTAACAGCACTTAAAAATAATGTGCTATCATTTGATAACAATAATAGCATTTTATCATTAGTGCTATTAATTTGGTGCTACTAATTAACCTTTTTGTTGTAGTGCCCCCACCATAATTTAGCACAATGGCAATTAATCCAAGCCTTTTATAATGGCATTGGAAATTCCTCTAGAATAATTTAAGATTCTGCAGCTAGTGGGAGATTTATGAATCTTAATGTTGATGATGCAGGTCAGGTTATTGAAGATATGGCAATACATAATTCCCAATATGGCAATCCTAGAGGATTTGCTAACAAGGGGAAACATAATGTTGACTCTGTATCCTTTTTGCAAGCTAAACTGACCTCTATATGCCAAAAATTAGATAATCTTAGCACTGCTAATGTAGCTAATGTTTCTGCGATTAATAATAATTCTAATGAGGCTTTTTGTGAAAATTGTGGAATTTTAGGTCATTGGGAACAAGATTGCAGGAGTTCCATGGAGCAAGTTAATGTCTTTCAAGCTTATAGGCAGAATAACCCATACTCCAACACCTACAATCCCGGGTATCGGAACCATCCGTTCCTTTCCTACCGGAGTACTAATGTTCAAAATCCACCACCACAAGAACCATAGGCGCCAATTCAAACAGCAGCAGAAATATTACCATCCCAATGCTGGCCAAAAGAACCAACCGCAACAACCTTCCTCATCTTCCGACCCTTCTCTGGTGGAAATTAGAGCGATGTTGGTTAATATGCAGAAGCACATGAAGAGTAGAGATGCGACAATTGATTCAATTCTAGCGCACAATAAAATTGTAGATAATTAAATTGCGCAACTTTCCGCTACTCTACAAGCCCACCAACAGGGAGCTCTGCAGCACAGCCGACCAGGCCTACGGATCAAGCATATGCAATTACTCTAAGGTGTTGTTCAAACTATGAAGGGCCCCCTACGCCCAGAGTTGATGAACCTGATTTATTAAATAATGCTAATCTTCATTCCGTTAAACCAAACAATGTAGTTAATAGCCCTGCAGGGCTAAAGGATAGTACTAACATATCTAATTCTACATTGCAGGGTACGACTCCAGAGAAGGTGGCTACTCCAGACAAGAGCAACAATGCTCAAAAGACAATTATCAAACTTCCATTCCCCAATCGTCACTTGAATATAAATTTCGATAAGAAGTTTGGTAAGTTACTGGAGATGGTAAAGATTTGAAGGTAACAGTTCCCTTCACTGAATTAATCACACAAATTCCTTCATATGCAAAATTTATGAAAGAAATATTGACAAGGAAAAGGTCTATTAGTGAGGTACAGACAGTAGCTTTCACTGCAGAGTGTAGTGCCGTACTTCAAAATAAGTCTCCACCTAAATTAAAAGATCCGGGTAGTTTTTTTATCCCTTGTCATATAGGCAATCTAATGATTGATAATGCATTGTGTGATTTGACTGCTAGCGTTAGTGTCATGCCATTATATGTGTGTTCCAAGTTGAATATGGGTAAATTAAAAGCTACCAATATAACTCTACAATCGCCGACCGTTCTTTCAAATACCCCTTAGGTGTTTTAGAAGATGTCCCCGTTGGAGTAGGTAAATTCTATATACCTGTTGATTTTGTTGTTCTTGATATGGCTGAGGATATGCAAACCCCAATTATTTTGGGTAGACCATTCCTTAACACTGTTGGAGCAATCATAGATGTGAGAAGTGGTAAGTTAACACTATCAGTAGGGGATGATAAAGTTATTTTCAATCTTAATAATACCCCTAAAAGCTCCATAACTAAGGAAAAATGTTTTAGTGTTAATGTGGTTGAGAATTATTCTAACAAGCCCCAAGCTCTTGAAAAAGATCCCTTGGAAGCGGTATGTTGTGTTGCATCCTTTTCAGATAAGATAGACAAATGGCAGAAGGAAGTCGATGCAATATAAAGAGCCCTCTACACTGTTGGTCTTGGTTTTGAGGACGAAGAGGTGGAATCAATCAAGCAACTTGTGCGATTTGAGCCTACGGTAAGTATTCCGCCAGATCGAAGTGCAAGTGTTGAATGCAATGACAATTTGAAGCAACCCTCGATCAAAGAAGGATCTTCAGTGCGTAGCATTGAAGACCTCCCAATCCAAGTCAAGGAGAATCCACCAGACAAATTAAAATGGCACCCCACAGGGCATGTCAGGAAGCCGCGTCGTAGCCAAAACACCGCTAGACCGGGTGAGAAACCGCCCGATCAAGCGTTAGGACAAGGGTCCTAATTCTTGTACTTGGTAAAAAGATCGTGCGGGACCTAGATAAGCTAGCGCTTTGCAGGAGGCAACCCGTATTTTTAATGCTTTTAAGACTAGTTTTTCTTTCCTTTTTCTTATGAGAGGAGAGATGAGGGAATTTAATGAGTTTTTTATGAGTGTTTATATAGGTTTGAAGGAAAAGAAATAGCCAAATTTTTAAGAAAATAAGAAAATATGAAAGCTGATAATTAGCCTCGGGCCTGATCGGGCGAATGCCGCCCGACCGGGCGCGAGAGCTAGGCTTCAAAATCAAGTATTTTTGCCCGACTGGGCGCGAAACTCGTCGTATACAGACAAAAATTGTCCGCCCGATCGGGCAAATCTCGCCCGACCGGGCGCGAGAAGTGGCAACAATTTGAACGTTAGATCGCCCGAGCGGGCGATGGGCGCCCGACCAGGCGCGAGAGTTGAAGAAAATCAGGCTATTTTGCCCGACCGGGCGCGAGAACTTCCAAACAAAAAAATCCCAGATCGCCCGACCGGACGACATACCGCCCGACCGGGCGTGAAGGGCGACCGCCTCCTCTTCTTCTTTCTTTTCTTCTTTATTCCTTCATTTCTTCTTTCCTCCATTACTTTCTCTCTCTAAAACTCAAATTCTCTCTACCTCTCAAATTCTCTCTACCTTCTCTCTAAGATTTCTCCTTCATTTCTAACCCAAATCCAAAACTTTTTACATATTTTTGATCCCCTCTTCATCCTCTAAATTTCTACACCAAAATCTTCAAGTTCTAATCAAATAATTTTTAGACCCATTTTAAAAAAAATTCAACAATGGCGGCAAAGAGGGCAAGAACACTTTTAGGGGGAAGCTCAAGCTCAAGTTAGCAATATGACCCGGCGTTGCAACTACCGCATTGGCCGACGATCAAAATCGCAACCCCGGAATAGAAGGAAAAGCTTGAGCAACTCTACGGGCGTGAGGTGATTTCTTCACGGTGGTTACACCGCCCTACTTTAGATGCATTAGGTTTACATGATTATGTTAGGAGATTTTTGAACAATATTGGAATGAGGAAATTTTTTGATATGCATTATGCCACTTATCATGAATTAACCTGTGAATTTATTTCCTCTTTGCATGTTTATAGCCATAAAAATGGGTCAAAATTAATGTTTAGGTTAAATAATAGAAATATTACTTTAACTTTTGTTGATTTTTGTAAATTGTTTGATTTGGAACCTAATTTGCCTCACCAATGGCATGCCGAATACAAAATGGATGATATTTATACTGCCTTGACTAGTTTGCCGACGCCTAACGCCCAACATGCTAGTGCTAAACCAATCCATCACCCCGTTCCTAAAGTTTGGCAACGATTTGCTGGTGTTAGCTTTTTAGGTAGGAACGAGCCCCATAACTGTCAAACTAATGAACTTGCTGTTATTTGTCATTATGTGTTCGGATTCGGGAAGCTTAACATAGCTAGGTATATCATTTATTACTTAGCTAGGCATGCTACGGTTAGTAACACCGCTACTACCCCCATCCGTCTTGGTGACCTTATCACTAGGATAGCTATCAAGAAGGCCGGTTTTGTAGAGGCTAGACCTCACCAGGTGACCAACTATGGACGTGATACCTACATGACCACTAGGTACCTAGAGGAGTTGGGTTGGGTACGATCGGACGGTAAGCAGACACCCTTCTGGTGTATTAGGACTGGGAGCGAGCAACCTTTGCCCATCTTTCCCCTACCCAGTCCTGACTTGACCGCCTTTCCCCCAGGGCAACCATCCTATACATATGATCTTTTAGTTTCCAACGCTAAGGGGCAGGCACCACCACCACCAGTTCCACCACATCACCCTCAGCCTCAGCCCGAGGTGGAATTCTCTCCACCTCGCATGTCTCACTCCATCCCTCATGTTGACTCTGACCCATTTTGGGACCTTCAGAGTATAGGTCAAGCCTTCAGACGTATCGAGCATTCCCATACTGACCTTAGGAGGATGGTAGGCTCCATAGACCAGAGGTTAGGGTATCTAGAGAAGAACCAGGGTAGAGCTCTCTACCCTATGTACGATGATTATGCTCGTCGGGGCAACATTCCCGACGACGCTATTCACCCTGACTAGTTTCAGCCTCCACCCCAGGGATACGATAGGGATCCCACTGCCCATGGTATTGACACTGACTATTCTTCTTTCCATGGGTACGGCCAGGACATTCCTTTCGGGGGACCGGCGAGGAGGATTTTTCATGATGATTATTTTGGTGGTAGCTCTTCTGGTGCAGGTGGCAGTGGAGGTGCAGGTTTCGAGTCGATGGATGAGGATGATCAGGACTAGCTATGTTGGGCTAGTTCCCGAGCCAATGAGGACATTATCTGATTCTGACTTGGGGGAAATTTTGGATTTGGTATATTTCTTTTTCTCTTTTCTTTTATTTTTGGTGTGTTTTCTTAGGTTAGATTTATTACTTTCTATGTTAGTTTTATTTCTTTTATATATATAAAAAATACAAAAAAAAATTGAAAAATTGAAAAAATCCAAAAATACGTTCCAATGAATTGTAAATTATGCTTCCCTGTGCCCCTTACTTGAGAAAATTGTTTTGATTCTTGGTATATGATGATAAGCATTGTGGATTAGTTGATCATGATTTGATGTTTGATTGCCTTGAAACCTTAACATGAGTCAATTTTGCCCAACTACTTGTGAATATAGTGCTTGACTAGTTGATTTGATTAGGAATGTGTGTTAG